TCACATTTATTCCTTTCAAAGCTTGATGTTGTGTTTCAGCAAAATCTATATACGTAATAAAATGCTAGTTAGAATCTTATATTTCTATGATTCAATCTCATGAGAATTTAAATTCATTTTGTATTGTTAATCCATTTCTAATAATATTTTAAGCTCACATTCAGCTTACAATTAACTTAGAAATTATCCTATTTTGTAGGCACTTAGAGTAGAAAGAATCCTAATAACAACCATGGATAAGGTTCAGTATTTCGAAATTTTTTAGAGTTATATAAACTGTTTTGGCATGAGATTTGAGCCAAAATTTCAATAATTTAATTACCTACAATATTGATGAAGGAAATAAATTCAAATACCCTATAGAATAGATGCGGTTTTCAGTTTTCAGTGGTTGTTTCCAACTAGGCTCAACTACAATAACACTCTGAACATGCCTTGGTAATTGGATTATAACTCTTGCTACACATAAGATATTAACATGAAATAAATTTCTAAATTTCGGGGATATAATTTCCTACAACTTTTATGAAGGAATTAAGTCCTAATTTCACACGTATCAATCTCAGTAATTCAAAAACCTAGGATGTTGAAACAGGGCTACCTCTTAACGTCACAGCTAGAACACTTGATAGTAAAATGTGCATAACTTAAGCTATAAATATCCGTTTAATGTGAAATCAGTTTCTAAATTTCGACAACTTAAAGAGCTACAACTTTCATGAAGATACCAATTCCTAATTCTGTTCACACAAGTCCCAAAAATTCAATTAATAGTACCTACGAATTAGGACTCTTAAAGTTTTTAGCTTAACCACTTCTAATCCTCAATTTTAAACATTATTGTAGTATCCTAGGTGTAAAACCTACAATAACACTCTTCCTACTCCCATTCAGCTTATTCAAGTGAGGATAAAAATAGAAAATGCACCGTTTTGAAAAATAAAACGGTAGAAATGTAGAGGAGATTGAGATAAACCAACTTACCTCTTGGAGCTTCTCAAGAAAAACAAGATTTCTCCCTCAAAATGACGCTTGAAGGTAAGAAAAGTTTTAAGAGAAAGAGAGAAACGAGGAACTACGAAAAAACTTGCAGAATGTTTCATTTAAAAGTCAAATGGTTGAGTCCTATTTCACCTAATTTTCCGCTCAGCGGATTTCTCGTGCGCCCAGCGGATATGAGGCCGCAAGTATAAGATTTCGACTCACAATCCGCTCAGCGGATTTCTCGTGCGCCCAGCGGATATGAGGCCGCAAGTAAGAGAAAGATTCCAAATATAATCCACTCAGCGGATTATATTACAAAAATTTTATCAATTATTTTCTTCTTTTTACTTTAGCCAAGATTTGAACCCACAACCCCTAAGACTCCAACATCACTCCAAACCATATTAACCATCATATGTTTCTTGTCAATTTATACACATAATAAAGTTTTAATGTACCCACACTCAATACATACAAGAAAACAATAATTTCTAAATGTGACAATTAAAATTGTTAAGTCCATACTCTTTCAATTTCAACCCTAAATCATATAATTACTATCAGGCGTCCAGTTGTCCGCGAAACGAATCAATTTTAAGTATTTTCTAAAAATTCCAGAAAAATTCTAGAAAAACACAAATAATCTAACAAACATCAAACTCTACAGTTTCTTTACCCAATTCCTAATAATTTAATTATTAAAATTTTGACAAAGATTTTGTCAAAATTTAACAAACTAGGGGTATTGAGAATCAGGATGTTACAATCATGGGCTTGGCATCAAATGTCATTTATTGCGCCCATTTCAAGTGTCACACCAACATACCCATTGATATGCAATTGGAGCGGAGGAAGAGTTTTGAACTTCCGCAATGTACCTCACAATGATGTTATGGGGTACAGATCAATGTTTGATCATATGCAAGCACATCAGGTATATGTTACTTCCTTAGTTGATTATTTAATTTCACAATTATGTTCATAATATGTAGTATTAAACTTTTTTTTTTGTTCATATGGGTTCCTTATAGACAACTTCAACAAGAAATTCCTAATGAAACATTTTGGGATTCAGCCATCTGGACTTCATGCACTGCTATCATCTACTTTCCAATGGTTGAATGACATCAAGCGGATAGAGTCAAACTCCAGTTTGGCTTGTTTCAAGAGGTCCCATTTGAACCCAACAACTTGTCATCGAAATTAATATGAGGGGTCGACAAGACGAAAACTGGGTTACAAGACATACCCAATGGATTGATTATTGGAATAACAAACGTGATCACATAATTATGGGTCATCCAATTCCAGGCCCATAGTTCCACAGTGCATAATATATGGAATGGTATAGTGTAAATTCCATTCTTTTTCTATTTGTCCCACGTCTATTACAAGACCTAAGAGGCAGGCAACAAACTTGTTCCAATTATGAAACGGGAACAAGTTCTACACCTTCCTACTAGCAGCTTCAACCTCATCAACATGCACCTCCTCAATATCACACACCAACTCCAGAAATGCAAGGAAGACATTCTTTTGCTACAAGTTCAGATGAAATGATGACTAACCTATTTGAAGTTGATTTTTCAACTCTAGCTTCAGTAACTTATATAAGGTCTTTGTAGCAACCACAAGATCCCAATCAACCAGGGACTTCATCAACTCAGTTGGAAAATCTCCAACTCCCTGCAAAAAAAGATCTTTCTCAACAGGAACAACCACAACAAAGAAATCCACGATGTAATAGATGTCGTCCTCATTGTGGAACCTGGACATCACTATGGAGATTAAAGCTTTAACTTTGTATTATTTCATTTCGAATTTTTCCTTATGATTATTCTTAAAAGTTAATGAAAAATATCTTCTTGTTCTCACTTGAATTTTGTTTAGATTTTATTATTTATTTTTGTATTTAATAATTTCTAAATAATTAATTATAATTAAAAAATATAAATATATAATTACGTTTTTATAATAAAGTATATCTAAAATATATTAATATATATATATATACAATATTAAATAAAAAATAAAAATTTCATAATGTTAAAGATATAATATATTCAAAATATTATATATATATATATATATATATATATATATATAACATAAATTAAATTTATATATTATATAAATTAAAATTATAAACTTATAAAAATAATTATAATTATTATCCTAAAATTAAAAAAAATTATAATTATGAAAATAATAATAAAATAACAATTTCTAAACCTATAAAAAAAATTTGAAAAATCAATTCAAAATTCAACTCCTGGGACCGAATTCTGAACTAGCACAAGAAAGAGTGCTAGTTGGGTAAATAATACTAGAGAGGTGCTGTTTTGGAAAATTAAAAAAAATATATTAATTATGTAAAAAGTTCATGATTTTTTTTCATAAATAATATCATTTTAATGAATATTTCCCAAAATAGTATCAACAATATTATTTACCCATAAAACAACATCTCTACAATATTGTTTACCAACATAACACCATTTACTATTCACATTTGGAATTCAATTTTCGGGAATCGAATTCTAAACTATCATTTCTTATTTTATTTTATTTTTCGAGAATTTGATCTCCAGAAACCGAATTCTGAATTGATTTTTATTTTTTTTATAATTCTTAATATTAATTTTATAAATAGATTTTTTATAATTATTATTTTAATTTATGTAATATATATATATATAATTAATTTCAAGTTCATATATATAATTATAATTTATATAATATATATATAAATTAGAAAAATTAATTTTGAATTCGATTCCGAAACCGATTTCTAACTAAAATAATTGATACTTTAAAATTTGGTTTTTAAATGATGCTAGGTGGATAAATAATATTGTAGAGATGCTGTTTTATGGGTAAATAATATTGCAGAGATCTTATTTTAAGAAATATTTATTAAAATGATATTGTTTATGAAAAAAAAATCATAAAAAAGCCCATTAAGTATGCTTTTGTTGCTATTTTTTAAATAATGACGTATAGATAAAATATAGCCCAAAACCTCAAAAGTTTCAACTCAATTGTTTTGAATTTCGAAGCCCTAAGTTCCCGACACCCCCAATCCATTTGGTTCACTCCCTGCAACATCTAAGGTACGCTTCTCCCTCTACAACTTCGATCTTCGAACGAGCTTAGAATCTCATATTTAACTTAATTTAAGCATTTGATTGCACTTTTTTTTTTTCAAATTACCCCCTTTTCCGGTTCGATCTTCAATGTTTTTCTAGTTCACTTCTGCTCTGTAATGTTTCTTCCTCGTTTTCTAGTTCACATTTTTTTTTATCCATGAAATGCTTTTTAGGAATTAGTTTATCTGGTCATAAAATTGAATATCCCCTTTATTTCCTATGGATTTAAGATGTATATTTAGAGAAATCACAAGCGAAATGCTATTTGAATTTCGGTGTTTTGAAAAAAAAAAAAAATTGGCTCTCAAGTCTCTATATTTTTTATCAAGTAGCAATCTGCGGTTAGACGTGTGAATTCTATGTTTGAAATAAACTTCATTCATTTCTGGATATTTTATCTATCATTTGTTTGTTTATACAACTATGTTCATTCGTTTACAACTGCTCAGATTCATTACTGATATTTTTTATTATCTTTTCTTGTGATATCTTGCCGGTTATCATAGTCTGGTTGGTTGGACTGTATGTTAAAATGTATGAAAATTGTCAATATTTGGGATATGGAAGTTATTATTTGGTTAGTTGGACTAATATGTCAAAATGTATAGACATTGTCAAATATTTGGGATATAAAAGTTATGATCTGTTTTTTATTCTAACTTCTATATACATAACAATTACGTGTAATGTGTGGATCTTTCTGTTTAAAGACACTGTTAGCTGATTCAATGCTTTTATATGAACTGGTTTTATAGTTTGCCATGTCTAACTTTATTTTAATTGAACAAAAAAAGAACTGTGGTTGATCATGGTGAACATGTCTTGCGATTATGACAGTTATTGATTTGTCTTTCTCTAGAGTAAAGAATGGGTGACAAAAAGAAGAAGGCTCAGATGTTTGTAAAACTAGTGTCTGCTGCCGGCACTGGATTCTTCTACGTTAAGAGGAAGCCAAGGCAGTTTACAGAAAAGCTTGAGTTTCGAAAATTTGATCCCAGGGTTAATCGTCATGTTCTGTTTACAGAGGCTAAGATGAAGTGATGGGTACCTTTCATTGTTTCCCTCCGTTGTGACGGGATTAATCTTGTGTTTCTCTTTGAAACGATTATCTAATTTGGGGTTAATTTTGAATCATGCCAATTATTTCACTGTCTCTGTCTATAGGATATTTTCTGTTCACATTGAGTTTTTATTTGTTTCTGCCGTGATATTTATGTCTATGGTTGTGTAATTATTATTCGATATCTTAGAAAAACTAGAATTCCAGAAAATTTATATATATATTTTAAATGACAACAATAAATAGATGCTACTTCTAAAGACCAATTAAACTATTCACCACTACCGTAAGCTTGAAGCCATTAATATCCCTTCGCATCAAGTACATCATTCCGTAGCATTCCATTCCACGTTGTGAATTGTTCTGAAGGCTCTGCTTGAACAAAATGACTGCAAACGTTGGATATGTTGACTTCTGTTTTCTTTTTTTCCCTAAATTCTATAATGCACACTGTGAAATGACATGTGAGAATAGTTAGCAGTCTGTTGGTTTCAGATAATCTGCTACGGAACATGATAGTGTAAGGGCCCAATGATGTTCCAAAAGATTATAATAGGCTCTCTTATTTCTGTAACAGCCTCATCTACATATTATCATAGTGTGAGCATGCTGAAAAACAAAGAGATGCCCATTTGTTCAGCATTTTTCACGACATTTAATAATGTTCTCGTAAAATTTTTAAATCCAACTTTACCTTTAAGTTCATTTTAATTTGTTAAAAGGGAACCAAGATCTCCAATTGCAACTATTACATACAAGTTAAACCAAAGTTAGGATTATATGCTTGTGGGAGCAACGTAATGTGGTTTTTGTCGCAACAAAAATAGGTGAAGTGCATATTTGGATTTGAGTTGAAGAGTTCAAAGTATTTTCTTTTCAAATAACAAATTTTCTCCTCATTTTGCACTTTGAAACCCCCAGAGCATTTTCTTAACTTTGAGAGTTCTAAAATCTTTTATCATCATATATATTATAGATGTGAAATTCTAATTTTGATTGGTGAATAACATCTTTATGATACCATTGAGTTTTCTACTAGAATTTGGCAACATATTTTCTAATAAATGTCAGGATTCCTTGTTTATCCATTCCGCATGATAGCAATGGGTGAGCTCTGTTCCTGAGTGTTTATGCGTTTGAGAGTTCATCAAAAGTTACTATAATGTCTAAAAGAATGAATACAATTATCTATAGAAGTGTTTTATTGTAATGATATTGTGAAAACAATGCATTGACATGATATTTCAAATTGAAGACATACTGTAAACCCCAAATAAGCCAACATTCAGGATCATGAAAACATCATTTTCTCATGTAGCGGGTTGTTTTTCTGGTACACATTAAAACTTTGTTTCCCATAAAAATCGATGAATTCCATGCACCTTTTCATTTCCTTCATTGTCGTGACCAGTGGTGCCTAAAACAAACACATGTATAAAACCCCATATACATATAACATCGATATCATATAACCAAACTCATAAAAAATGGCATCAGAAGTAAGTTACATCTGCAAAAGAACTGTGGTAAGCACCAAGGCAGTGGAGCCAGGAAAGTACTTCCCCTTATCAGCTTTGGATCGGCACATGGAGAACAACCACATTAGACTGGTATGCTACTACCAATATTCAGGAGAAGCAGTGGAGCTTGGAGAAGTGACCAAGAAGTTGAGACACAGTTTGTCAGAGATGTTGACCCATTTTCCCATAGTGAGTGGAAGGTTGACAAGAGATGAGAGAGGGCATTGGAAGATCAAGTGCAATGACGCTGGGGTGAGAGTGGTGGAGGCCAAAGCCAAAGGGAGTGTGGAAGGGTGGCTAGCAAACCTTGATAGGGAAAAAGAACTCCAACTTGTGCACTGGGAGGATATGTTTCACAAGCCCTATTACTGGTCCACCTTTTATGTCCAGGTTAGGATTTTCAAGTCACATTTTTTTAATATATGTTCCATTAATTTTCATCTCTCTTCATTTTGATCTTAATTTCAGCTGACTGAATTCGAAGAAGGTGGATTAGCAATTGGCCTAAGCTGTGGCCATCTCTTGGCAGATTCCACTTCTGCAACTTCTTTCATGAAAGCATGGGCTGACATTTCAATGGCCAACAAAATGGTTACTCCTCCACTTTTCCACCCTTTACTTCTTACAAGACAAGGAATCACAAACCCCAATCATCACCCCCACATGGAGTTAATACACCACTACAAATCTTCAATTCAAAAACCCATTTCTTTGAAGGAAGCTAGGTACACAACCATTTCCATGGGCTTCTCAGCCCACATGGTCCAGGCCTGCATGTCTGCAGCCCAAACCAACAGCCCAATAACACCCTTTGCCGCCCTTGCAGCCCTGTTTTGGGTCTCATTGAGCAAAGTCAAGAAGGGCTTGAGAAATGGGCTTGTTGACATGTCCATATGCTTGGACATGAGAAAAGTCTTGGGCATAGATGTTGCCTTCTTTGGGAACTGCATGGTGTATAATAAGGTCCATGCAGTGGAAGGGGACACTAACAATTTCACATTTCCTCAAGCTGTTAGAGCAATAAGTCATGTTGTGGCTAAGATGGATTCTGAGAGAGTGATGGATTTGATCGATTGGCTGGAAAATGAAGGTGTGAATTCACCTACCATGATGAACAATCATGATCTTGTTTGTGCTAGCTTGGAGAGTGTGGACCCTTATTTAGCTGTGTTTCAAGATGGGTTCAAACCCATTCATGTTTCTTGTTATGTAGAACCAGTTTTGGGAGAAGGACAGGTTTTGATCCTCCCTGGCCCACCTGGGGAGGGTCCCTTAAGTAGGGTGGCCATGGTGACCCTAAGAGAAGAGGAAGCAATTAAGCTTTGTGAAGATGAACTTATTTCACAATTCTCTCCCACTACCATGATGAAATGTCAATGAAAATGCTTTAATTAAATGTATGGGGTTATAAATGAATAAAAAAGATAAAAACATGTTTTTTAATTAAATGTATGGAATTCCAATCTAACCTCGTACACTGTAATACAACTCATTTTCTCACTTTATTTTTAGTGTTGCACAAGTAATGACATTATAATGACTCACGTGTTATATTTAATAATTTATCTTTATCAATTTAAACGTTAGATTCCTCTCGTAAAGCAATAAGCATGATGTAATATAAGATTCCTAACGTAAGTTATAGTGCACTACAGCTATTCCCTATATTTGCTTTTGTAATATTTTATTTAAAAATATAAATGTGAATTTAGTTCAATGAGTAATATATAAAAAAAATAAGATTTGTAATCTAGTATATTATATTTTTTAATTGAATATGATATCAATCTCATTAGATTTATGTCTGGTGTTATTTTTTACTAATAAATAAAGATCTAACATTATTATTCTTTTCTGTTCCATGAGTTCAACAATGGGGACCATTATAATTTATCCTATGTATTAAAAAATGGAATACATGATTATAGTTGATTAAAGATTTGCATGTAACAAGTCAATGAACTGGGGTCCCACTTGTAAAATCATTGATTCAATTCGTGATGAAGATAAGTTTATAAAATAATTAACCTTAGTTAATTCCCATACTTGTTTCCTTTATTGCACATAATAATTTCCACGTTTGGTTCCATGTTACTGCTGAAACTTGATTCGGAATAAAGTACAGAAAAATGAAAGTGGGTTTGTAAACGTTTTTCCATGAACCTTGTAGGAAACTTTAATTATTTATATAATAGTATTAGAGTGGATTATTAAATATATTTTTATATTTATAATTTTATTTTTATTTATTATTTATTAATAATATATTATTTGATTTCATGTTGTATTTAAAAATTTGTTGAATAGTTATAATATCATATCATAGATAAATATCTTTTTTCTAGGTAGACAACAAGTTAACTTTATTAAATAGTTTTTTTCCCTTTTAGAAGAATTTGGTATTCACTAATCACTTTTTCTTATATTGATTGACCCTAATTATTGACCCTAATTATTGACTTGCATTATTGATCCTAATCACTTTAATTAAAGTTGTTTGTTGATATACTTAAATAAATTATTAATTGCTTAAAATAATTTTTCAATAGAATAATGTTATGTGACATGATAATTGCTTAAAATATTTTGATAGATTCTATGGTGATATAGTTTTGACATTACCTCATAAATCATATTTAAAAAATCTTCATCGAATGATATATTTTATTTTATATAAAAATTTGATTATTGATAGAACTTATTGGTAAATTATATTATATTTATAATTTTAACTCAAAATGTAATGATAATTTAATATATATTTAGTATATTAATAATTTAATCTCTTATTTTTTATAAATATTAAATTATATCATTAAATATATTAGATAGAAAAAAAATTATATTTTTTTATATTTTTAATATTTATTTATTAATAATATATTATTTAACTCCAAAATATTAAAATGTATGGTAAACTATTGAGACTACATATTTATTTTAAATTTACTCCACATATAATATTTTATATAATTTTGTGTATTTCAATTTTAATCTATATATAATTCTTTATCTAAATTTATATCATATCACGAAATTTATTTAATTTTATATATTCTGATTTTAATCTATATGTAACCATTTATATATTTTATTACATATTATTAAGATTACTTCGAATAACAGCGAATCTAATCCTCAGAAAAATTTCTTTGAATCATATAACTCGACAATAATGAAAAAAAGTGTGAGAAAAAAAATATATTTGTATATTCTAAAAGAAAATGACGTTAAAATAAAAGAAAATATTCATTTTAAAAAGTAGAAATAAAAAATTAAAATTAAATATTTATATGATTACAAATATATATATATATATATATATATATATATATATATATAATTATTAACTGGTTTTTCTACGAATGAAATTAATTTTTAAAATTAACACTTTTAAATTAAGATTTTGTTTTTTTAATAGTATATACTTTTGATATATAATTATAAAATATTTTATATTATCAAATTATATTTTTTTAAAATTATTTGAATTTAAATTAATAAAATAATATTACATTAAAAATATAAAATATATTAAATTCTATTAATTTATATAATTATTTTCATTATTTATCACACTCACCAAATTATTATAATTAAAAATCAGCATACACATAAAATAAAATTGAAAAATATAATAATATATATTCTTTATTAGAGAATATAACTTTATAAAATATATTTTTTTAATATTTTCTACTCCTTTTTTATATATAAATGAAAAATAAGACAAGTAGGTCAAATTAAAAAGTAATTTTTTATTATTAAATAAGGATTTTTTTTTAATTTTGTACACTAATCCCTTTTTATTTTCCACCTTCCTTGTAAATAAAGAAACACATGAAGATATTAAAAACCCTAAACTTAGATAAATAGCCTTAGGTGATTTGCCCGATTTGGTGAAAACTTGTATCCATGTGAATGGGTGAATATTTGTACATACTAATATAATATTTTATAGGAATATAAATTTGGTTGAAAAAACAAAATAGGTGCGAGCAATAGAAGAAAGATACTGTGGGTGGATAAAAATCTAACATTTTTCACTTATTAAAATAAGTTGTGGGTAAAAATTTTAAATTTTTTGAAATGTCATTCTTATGACACTCTTTCTCACCACGCGTGTTTTTTCCCATCACTCCCCGTAACTCCCGTATTAAATTAAAAAAAAAAAAAATAGTCATTCTCAAATATCTTAAAGTTTTAGAAATTTTGGATAAACTTGTGATATTCTTTTATGTAATGTATTATCATTGAATCTCCCGTCCACATCAAACTTGTGCTCAAATGGTGCTCACCTTGTTGGCTACTCAAACTTGTGGTTATGGAAACTAATTGTGGTGTTTTGAACTGAGAAATAATTTATTATTTATATTCGTGTTAGAATCATTGCTTTAGATGTATATACTATGATATGTAGTATAAATATTGTTTAGCTGCTTTATATATTATATATATATATATGAAATGTCATAGTAAAAAATAGAAGAGGTTGGGGTTCTAGCAGTTTTTTTTTTGTTTTCATTATCATAAATTTGTTTATTTAATTATTTGATGATATTTGATAAATTATTTATTCTCTACTACAATTTTATTCATTTAGCTTAGCGTATATCACCTGCTGACACGTGTTGTGAAAAAACTAAACACATAATAGAGGTTTGCCATAAAAATCACGAATATTTACTGGGCAACAAATTTTTTCAAGAACAAGCAGTCTCAAGTAAATAATGTTTCAACATAAGAAGACAATGATGTTGGAAAATATCAAAACTTTAATGAAGTAGTTGATGTCCGTCTCACCCCTCAATATCATATTATGGTTGATATCTTCAAACATGCCACTCAAAACAATACTTAACCACAAGCCAATCAAATTGGATCTGTTTCAGCTATTCATTCACCAGCAGGTAATATCAGTTCTATATCTAATTTTAACATGAATAAGAATTTCTGGATCCTTGATTCGGGAGCAACAACACACCTTTAAATTATTTTACATCTTACAAATGCATTAACCCCATTCACATAAATTTACCTAATGGAAATTTTGTCACTGTCAATTACAGTGGTAAAAGTTATTTTCAATTATGATCTTTATCTCACTGAAGTTCTTTATGTGTCACAATTCACATTTAGCCTTATATTTATCTCTAAATTAGTTTATTTTTCCTTAACTGTCAATTAACCTTTTCTGTTGAGAATTTTTAGGGTTTTATGTATATGTATTTCTGATATATCATGTGTGTATATTTCTATTCAGGTACTCTATGTATATATAAAGTACAAATATTACAAAATATCAAATATCAATAATATCTCAATCATAACTGCCTAAATTAAAATAATAACCTAATACCTTTTCATCTTCTCTCTTAAAAGATAATAAAATTTCTTAATACCTAATTTAAATAAAAGATAATAAAGTAATATTCCTAACATTCATCCTTACTTTAATATCTATTTATTTGAATTTAATATTTTTTTTCTTTTATTTTCTTATAATTTTTCCTCTTTTTTTGTTTGTACTTCTTGTCATCTTCTTTCTTGAACGATATCACATCTTCATTCAACTTCACTTTCTTCATAAAAATATTTCTTCCTTTGTCAACTTCATCTCATTTGTTTCTTTCAAACTTCTTCATGTAATACCGTTGACTCTTTGATGGACATTTGAAACGGTTTCTTCGTCTATATATTTATTTTCCTCCTTAACATCAAGTTCCTTCAAGAAATCTTCTTCATGTTTTTTCTTTGACTTTTCTTTTATATCTTTGTTTGTAATCATCCCTTCTTTCATCAAATCTAAAGTGAAATTTTTTCCTTTCATGTGAACTTTGAATATTTCCAAGTTATTTGTATCTTTAATCACACAAAGTTTGTATTCAAAAGACACCTTATAACTTTTCTCCAATAATTGAGCAACACTTAACAAATTATGATTAATATCAGGAACATATAAAACATAAAAAATCAATTTGATACCCGAATGACTTTTAACTGCAATTGTTCTCGTATGTTTCACATCCATTTGTTCTCCATTACTGATTCTCACTTTATAAATATGTGATTCGTTGAGGTCTTTGAAATCATGAGTCATGTGGTTTGTACAACCACCGTCTATAAGTCAACCTATGAATTTGTTGATTGTAGAGCATGTTGATGCAAGGAGAAGTACCTCTTCTACCCTATCCTCTATAACTTGAACGACTTCCTCTCGTTGTGATTTGCATATCTTTTCTATATGTCCCAATTGACCACATTTGTGACATTTCACATCAGGCCTCCACCAACACTTATTGGGTGTGTGATTATTTTTCTTGCAATAAGGACAAACAAAAAAGACTTATGATTTTATACATTTGTTATTCTTGGCTTGG